TTTCTTTTTTTTTTTTTTTTTTTTTGGTGCCTTTGAGTCCATTTTGACTCCTTGTGATTGCCTGGACTGGTCTCTGCAGTTTTCTTGGCAAGATTTCAGGGGTCAAACACTGACTCAGAGCCTGCCCCCTCCAAAACTGTAGCCTTATCTTCCATGAATTAAGTTGTCATTTCTAATAGCAAATTCCATAGTTTTACTCCATATGAACAAGTCTCTCCACCCTTGGCTTCACTGGATTGTCCAGTAATATTATGAGAGAGGATAAATTACGTGTGATTGCTTCCTCCTTACCATGAATAATTTTATGAAACTCTATCATATCTTCCATTTTACTCACCATTTCTTCTTCATTCTTCATATGACTTCACTCGTAATGGATGTTCTAGCCACTTGATCATTCAAGCTGTCCTTTTCTACAGTCTCTACAGCCTTAATATCCTTTTAAAAATATGATGACCCAAAGGTGTTTATTACTCTTACTTCTGTGTGATCAATTATTTTGATATTGAGGTTGTTTTATTTATTTTGTAAGAAATAATAATAATAATAATAATAATAATAATAATAATAATAATAATAGCAGCAGCAGCAGCAGCAGCAGCAGCAGTAGGGAGGAAAATAATTCCAGTTGGCCATCTACCTGTTTAAATACTATATTTTCCTACTCTTAGTAAATGGGCTTCATTTCGAGAACCTTTGAGTGATCATTAGGATTTGGGGATTAGAGGATCCCATCTAGGATTGAAAGTTTGGGGTGGATTTTGAGGCTGATTTGGTATATTATGAATTGTTTTCATTTGTTAGTGTTCATTTCTTAATTACAATTTCCCATGGATGTTTTAATATTATATATATCTCATTTTTAGCTTTGATTGAAATATGGCACTTTACAGATGGTATGAATGAATGAGTGAATTCACTAAATGCATAGGTGAGACACAGCATGTGATTGAAGAACGCTTGACAAGGCTCCAATAAGGAATGTTCACTCAGGCTGGTTTCAAACGACTTAGGGCTCTACAGGTTGTAACCGTTAATATGCATAATACCAAATGACTATAATGATAAATCAGCCGTTGCAGTGATTTCTAATTCTTCTTGTTCTAGGCAGCCGCCTACTTGCCATCATCCTATTCGAGAGAAACACCATTGCCATTTTGGCCCTTGCCCTCCTTGCCGCCAGATCTGCAAGAAAGATTTAGAAAAGTGTGGTCACTTATGCCCTGCTTCTTGCCATGATGAAGCACTTGTGAAGCAAACTGGCTTGGTAAGACAGAAGCCTGTAATGTAAAAAAAAAGTCTTCTGCTCTTCTAAGGAAAGAGAGTTTAACAGCTAAAAAAAAGCTTAAGGATAGATGTTACGGGTTTGCTTAACATAGAAATTAAAAGGTTTGTTGTTGTCTTTGCCCAAATTGTGTAATTTCTGATAGGTAGCCAAGACGTGTTTTCACTTGGTAGGGGATGTGTTGGTGCTGGCTAGACTTAAACTGTAGGATATAATGAATCTTAGGACTTTGATGGATGTTGTATTTACTCAAGCAGCAGGTGATCACTTACTTTGAAATAGTCTGAAATGAGTAACTGTGGGAGGAGAGGTGAAAACCTACCTCAGGTTACTGAAGTAGCATGGATGTGTCCATATGGAATTGGCAGCCGTGACTTGTAGAATAATGCACTTGTGATTAATCATCACAGCCTGCTTTGAACTTAACTGTTGTGTAAATTCAATTAAATCAATAAAGCTGAGCTTTGTCGGGTTTATCTGTTGATTTCTTTTTCTTACAGCATCAGCCTGCAGGCCCCTGGGAACAGTCCACTGAGCCTGCTTTTATTCAGACAGCATTGCCTTGTCCTCCATGCCAAGTCCCTATTCCAACGTGAGTTGTTCTGAATGGCATGATCCTTTTTTGTTTTGCTATTTTCACTACATAGAAACACATAGTATTGCAACTTATTTGTGTTTTAGTTAAAGGAGGACCTATTCCTGAAGACCAAATTGAATCAGCTAAAGTATATAAAATCCAGTTTTCTCTTACCAACAGCACTTCCATCTTCTCTGGTTTTAGTTTCAGCTTACTCAACTCTTCCACCCCTGCAGGAGTTTATAGGAGCTACCAATCTAAAACTAATAATCCGAGAGCGATCTGTCTGTGACAGCGGAGTTACAGGGAGCTCCTGTGCATTCAGATTCCTGCTCCAATCGAACAGAATGCTCTGCTTGTATGTGGGCTCAGATGCCAGTAGATTTTACCAGCAACTGCCTGGCGTGCAAAGGCAGGACATTTAGATTGGCGAGTGTACCATCTGTGTCGTGTAGACTTCCTTGGTTAGACTGCAGCCTGAAAGAAAGGAAGGCCAACAGGTGGCATATTCTCCTTATCCGATAATGGCCAATTACAGCCTCCTGCCATATCTTCCTTTGGCAGATATTACAACAGTTTTTATTCCCAGAACATACTACATTTTCTTCCTATAAGAGCAAGCCCCAATTAATAAAATGGGCTAATTGAAGCAGGCTTTCCAAGTTGGGAGTCCAGACTCTCTCTTGTTGCTCATACATAAAGACAAACAAGTCGGCCCATCCGAGGGGTCGCTATAAGGGGTTTCCAAAGGAATAATTCATATTAATGAAATAGAATCATATTTAAATAGATTGAGCTTGTTTATTCTCTCTTTGCAGGCAATGCTTTGGAAAACACGAGGTAAGTCATTATAGCTGTCATTCTTTGGAATAAAACTGAGCCATGCATAACTTGGTTTTAATTAGAGTCTCAAAACTAAGCTTTAGCATTTGATTGATTTGACATGAAATTTATTTGCAACTGAAATGTTTTGCTTGTTTGCAACCCACACACAGTTTTTCATTTGGAAGCTAGCATTTCCATTAGCAGAGTAATGCAAAATTGTTCTAAAGCATTTGTAAAATGGGCTCCTAATTTGATTAAACTTTGAACTTTTGACATTACATTTCAAACAATGTGGAATGTGGGTAAAATAGTGTTTTGTTAATGTTTAATAGCAAGCTTTAGGTTAGTTTTTGTTTTATAGAGCTTTATTGTTTTGTTTTTTTTCATCTTAAATGGCTTTTCTTGTGCAGCTGATACTGCTGGCATGATACATTTTGTGGCTGTTTTAAGAGCATCTGCAAATGATATTTTGAAAATGGATATTAAATGTTGCTTAGGCAAGTATGATGACCAAAGTAGCATTTGAGAGCTCTCCAGTTGCGTGAAGTATGTGTCTTAAGTTAAACATTATAGAAGAGGTCCTGGGGGGAAGATGGGGAGGGTCCCTTAGCATTGTGTAGTGTGAATGGAAATCAGCACGCACACTGTGTTGAATTACACAGTTTTCCAAGACAGAAAAATATCAATTGGGTATATGATTTTTCTGCACAGGAAAGAAATGAAGTTCTTAGAACAATAAATATGATAGCCAAATATATTAAGAAAAATGTTTTGTTTTATAGTTGCTAATTTATAGTAGGTGTTACATCAGAATGACGCCTGAAAAATATGTACAAATAACAAGAATATTCCATCATTAAAATGGCTTGAGGTTTATAAGGGGTTGAATTGATCTCTTACAATTGCATCTGAACAACTGAAGTTAACTTTGATGGGTATGTTTAGAGGGAAGTTCAGTTTTACTATAAATACCTAGTACACTTTTTTAAAGAAACAACGGATTGGGAGAACCTATGAGAACTAGAATTTATAAATATGATTTGAGTCCCAGTTGACATAATAAACAGAATAAATAAACTGCTGCCAAATATAATATATCCTTCTAAGTTGGGTGTGCCATTTTTTCCCCTGTCCTATGGGACATTAGTTTCCTTTCCCTGTTAGACTTCTTAAAGAGGTTTTAAAAATTGTTTCTGAACACAGGTGGGTTTCCACAAGCATTTTAATCCTTTTTAATTTTTGGATAACCCAATTTTGGCCATAATCCATCTACTGTACAAGTAGTCCTTGTTTAGTGTCCACAATGGGGACTGGCAACTCGGTGGTTAAGTGAAGCGGTCATTAAGTGAAACCGCAACTGTGCTTGTGATCTTACTTCAACTTTCCTTTGCTTTACTGGCCTGTGAAGGTCGTAAATGCAAGGATTGGTCGTAAAGTGACTTTTTCATTGCTATTATAACTGCAAAAGGTCGCTAAACAAGTCAGTTGCTAAACAAGGACTATCTGTGCCTTCAAACAGAATTTACTATTAGAAGGAGTGTCTGATTTGATTACAAGCAGTTTGGGAAGATGAGATGAGAATGATAAGAACTTAGGTATCATTTATAGGTACTGTACATAACATGTAAGGTTTGATACCATGATGGATATGATGGATAATGATGTGCCATGGAAATTCACTGTGGTTACTATTTGATCTAATTTAGAAAATTGTTTTCTCCCAGTCCTTTATGAAATGATTCTAGAAATGCAGTATGGTCTTGGTGCTGCTTCTTTTCTGTTTTGTATCTTTTAAAATCATGCTTTTCTTCTTACTGACTTAAGTTTAGGCTTGAAGTGAAGTATTATCCTCTTGTTCTTTATTCATTCTGCCCAGAGTTGTTTTGGAGTTGGGCAGTTTAGAAATTTGATAAATAAATATATAATCTACAAAATGTTCCATATTTTGAAATGAATGCTTAGACAGAACTGTCAGAGTAATTGATTGGCGACTTTGAAGTAGCATAATTTAAAAATAGCATTTGTATGCTGGAAGAGTTGTAAGCCATTCTGGGTCATTATAGACAAGACTTTTGAGTTGCAAGATTATTCCCCCACCCCCAAAAAAAAGATATGGTGCAAAAGAAAGTGAATTCTGAAATAATAGTGATTATATGAAAGATGCAATGAATGCGACTTTCTTAGACCGATTGTCAGAGCAGAACCATTTTCAGTCCCCTTGCAATATGCTTGACAGAGGTTTTCTGGCTGTTCTTCTTTCCTCTTGTTCATTGAAAAAATTGTTCTGAATCTGTTACTTGTGTGATTATTTGTTAGATCTGTATCTAGATGTATACATGCAACTGAATGAGATGGTAAATGGATGCTACCTCTTCAGCTTGCACAGGTTGGATACCAGTTGTGAATGTTTCCACTCCTGTTCCAAACAGAAAACCAATTCAGTGCAAACACAAATACTATTACAAGGATGTGTCAGTTGTGCTGGTTTGTATTTGCACTGTGTTCCTATTTTGAGATGGTATTAAGAATATAATTTTGTACTATAGCATATTGTTACAATTAAGATTAATATATTTTCTATTCTGCTTTTAATAATGAACAGTGGAATCATTTTTTCCATCTCCTTCTGTTATATTATGGTATGGACAAAGCAAGTGATTATATCTACCTTGAGTCATTAAAACTAAGACTGTTTAGTTAATCAACTAAGTAGTATTTATCCGAACAATTAATTGAGATTCCATGTGACTTTATTACGAATCCTAGCAGTTATAATACATAAGGGTTGTGTTTTGGCTTAGCCTCTTGTGCAGACTCTTCAATTGTGTTTTTGAAGCCATGATTCTTTCCCCCCTAAGCTAAAACTAAATTAATTTAATTATGGTGACTCAAGCCACAAGTTTTTTCAGTTATTTCTTTCCACTGATAGGACAGCAGATGCAAATAGAAAGGATACCTCTGCTTCTTGACATAGACTTAAAGCTGATGGGGTTGGGGGGGGGCTTTTTGAAACAGTCTTGGGATGAATTTGAGGGTTCACAGAAGAAGAGAGCAAAGGGAAATTTGCATGTATGACATTAGATGTAGCTCTAACCTATGTTTCAACATTTTTAAAAATTGTACAGTTATGATAATTCATAGCTTAGAGCGATTGTAATATCAAATTCTAATGTTTGTAAATAGCTTCAGTTAATTTTTAGTTGAAGTAAATAACTTGCCTTAGAGGATGGCAGTTTGTAATGTGTTCATTTTCTGGTTTTTTGGAATTGAAAAAAAATACCAATTTAAATTAATGGGTTAGAGGTCAGTAATGAAATGGCCATATCATAGCTGCTACCTGAAATAATGCTCTGCTGTTCTGCTTTTAACATTAATCGAGTAGGGAAAAAACCCACATTTTTCACAGCAATAACATAAGGTAGTCCTTGACTTACGATCATTCATTCAGTGACCGTTCAAAGTTACGAACTCGTTGAAAAAAGTGACTTATGACCAGTGCCCAAAGTTACAGCTGTTGTAGTATCCTCATGGTCACGTGATCAAAATTTGGGTGCTTGGCAACCCACCCGCACATACGATCCCAGGGTCATTTCAACTCCCCCAACCCACCTATCTCCCCCCTTTTGCCACCCTGCACTCCACCGACAATCTTACCTTTGCCATCTTCTTGCTCCCACTGCTGACAAGGTGTGCCCGGCCTAGCTGCTGGGCCAGGCCAGGCTGGGCTTTGGCTGCCCCCCCCCCAAAAAGCTAAAAGCAGCCCC